GCCAAGTGGCTTGTGAAGAGACCCTCAAAATTATCCCTATTAAAGGAAGGTTCACTTTATCAGCTTTGTTCTTTGATCAACCTGCCCACCCACGAGCATTTAAATCTGAAAAGGCCATACAACCCCACCAACTGCCCCTTCTTGCCCAGCTGACAGCAAGGGGACAGGCAATATACAGACACCTATGAGAGCACATGAATAGGAGACAATGCATGTGGGAGAACACAACAACAGCCTACTTCCATATGGAGCTGGAGATGATGCTACTACAAAAAAAGGCACACAAGACCTAAGACTTGCTCTATGCTGAGAGCTGTCTGGGTTGCAGTTTGTCAGATATCTGCACTGACCTTTCAGTAGCTCATCACTATAGATTTTAAAAAAAAAAAAAAACCAACCAACATGAAGAAAAAAAGGTTTGAATTTGCACCAGCAGTAGTACTTCATTATTCTCACTCAAATCCTCAGCAAACCGATGTCTCAGAAGTACAGGCACAGGTATTATTACACAACAAGTATGACCTGGGCTAACACAAGCCTCATCATGATTATTCTGAAAAGAGCATTACCTTCATGTCCAGGTACAGATCCTGACAGATCTGGAGCGTAGGTACATGACAAACTCACAAGAAATCAAGCTTCAGAAATTATGCAGAATCAAGTAGCTTTTTACACATCTTAGAAGTAACGCTGACATAACAGGTAAATAACTGTGTAGTCTCCAAAAGATCGTAAACAGCCATTAAAACCATTAATGAAATGAAATTTCAGTGTCCTGCAGTCTCCTTGCATGTGTTCTTCCACCAGTGGAACTGATCCAAAAACCAGCTGGTAAGCATTTAACCTTGTCTTTTAACACCTCAATCAACTGTCCCTTCATAACCAACAACAGAGCATCTTGCCTGTTCACTTTCCACAAACTGACTTCGTGCTGTGTAAGACACTGGAGTTTTTTTTCCTCTTATTCACCTCTACAGAGTTTCATTTGCTGTTATGGTCTAACAGCACTTTGGATACTAGTTCTTACCTCTAACTAGGAAACAAAACTCCAAGTAATTTAGTCTTCTTGGAAACAATTGATGTCAGAAATAGCTGGAAACCACCAGAGCCCACATTACGGCCCCTACATCCTCTCAAGATCTGTATTAAATTTTAAGCCAGTTATATATGAAAGCAAGCATGACATTTAGCTCTGAATGCCAACACCTGTTCATTTCACAAATCTTACCTAGTTCACCTTTTCCGATTCATGGATCCTACTAAGTCTATTACAGATGAGGTTTAAATTTTTACACTGAATACTAAACCTCAGCTACAGTTATTTGCTCTACTAAAGTAAAGGAATAGTCAAAAGCAGTCACATTTAAAAAAACCAGTCAAAAACTATTCAGCTAGGAGGAAAAGCCTGCCTTAATTTTTTTAGCTTACTTCCAGATTTGCTAAGAACTGGCCATTTCAATAAGCACTATATAGTAAATTAGCTGAGTGTGTGATGCCCTTTGTTCTGAACTCGTTCCATGAAACACACAAACATAATCCCATAAAAACCATGAGATTGTTTGCTTCACCTAACATCTCTTGAAGCTTTAGCCCAGTATAGCTTGATAAAACTAGTAAGATTTGATGTAAACTTTGGAAGACCACTGCAAATTTTAAGAACTAGCTAGCTCAGTTCAGTATACAGAACGAGCTTTTTTTCATTTGTTCTCTCTCCAGCAGACTCTGGGACAGGTAACCTTCAGGTGAGCTTCAATAAACTGCAGAAATTTAACAGTACCAAAGGAAAAGTAAGGGCCGGGGGTGGGGGCAGGGCATAATAATCCTTAGTAACATTTCCGGGTGCTGGATGTAACCAAAGGACAGGAACCCAGTCTTTGCGTTCTTATCAGCAGGATTGTAAATGGAGCACAACATAGTAATAATTTTTTGCTATGTTACATTTGGCAGCCAGGTCATCAAAGTCTCTCCCAGCCAAATTACGAAGACAGTCTGCCAGGACTGAACCCCAAAGTGTAACGAAAGGCTCGCCCTTTACCTCTTATGTGACTTTATAACATAATTCAAAGGTAGAGAACCAACAGCATGCAGACCAGTTATAACCCAACATGTGTTTCAGGCAGGCTGGAAATCATCACTTAACGCATTCACAAATGTCTCATTCTCAGCAATGAAGAAATTCCTTGCTCTTACATGTCCACCATTTTAGCAATTTCTAATTACTCCCTACCTGCACTGACACACAGATTCACTGACACACAGATTTAGGACAGCACTTATCAAAGCCTTGGCAAAAATATGTTTCTTAGGTACCTTGGTCACAAATTCTTAGTTCATTTTCTTGTCCACTGTACTAGAGAATACAGAAAAAAGTAATTCTGCATGTTTTAGAGGAAAATTATTAATTTAAAACCTGCAAACCCCCCTTACAGGGAAGAAAAATTCATAATACAGCAATTAGTTTGGCCTGCACACAGGGCCCAGAAGATCTGTAAGCATATATAGAATCATAAAATGGTTTGG